AACGTCTCCTATACATCTATACTTCTATACATATAAAAAAATTGAAGTGTCTGTCTGTGATATTGAAATAGCTGGCTTTTATTAAACTCAAGGGATTATTTGCATGCTATTAAAAATAAATTAACCATTTTGAAATTTATTGTCTCTCGGTCCGTAGCTTGATATGAAACTTTACAAACTGATAAAGAGCAAGGCCAGGAGGGATTTAGACTTTATTCGAATCCAAAAAACTTCAATTTTTTTAAATACGTAAAATTAGAAGTTTATGCATCTGTGCTTGTGTAGTTATTATACGAATAGATACTTTAATAATAGTTGAATTTACTAACGGTTACCTACACAACTAACAAAACGCTATATTAAGATGGAAAATAAGTTTAGAAAATGAGTTTGAGGAATCTCTCATTCTACTAAGACCATAAAGCGAAATTCGTAGCCAGTAAACATTGTAGAACCACAAGAACTTTTATTACTAAATCCATAAACGATCCGTATGTCTTTTTACTTTTTATTTCATACACATTGAACAACGCATAGTTTAAATTTGCAATAATGTAAATACAATATTTCAAAACTGTCAAATTGACAAAACTCATAAAATACCCCCGCAGGCACGGTACTCGGCGGTTAGGGAAAACATCATGAGACTATATAAAGGCTGTTAATATTAACCATGTAGTGGCTATGTAAGAATACCATACCATTTATTATCTCGTAGATGTCGATAAGAGGTGCAGAAGAAAAACAAACCAGGAGACAAACATCAGCATCTTCCTAATAACAACTAAAAAATAAATAACTGCGGTCGACCCACCTGCCAAGCGTGGCAACTGCGACAAATATCTCTTCCATGAGGCAACCTATTGGAGGAGAATCAGAATCAGAAGTTATTTATTTGTCTACTTGTGCATTTGCTTCCTCGCGGCCGGTGAGCCGTGCAAGGGTGAGTCAGTTAACTTATGTCCTAGGTGGATCTGTGTTTGCTGTGTTTTGCTTATTCATAATAAGTTTATACAATAAACCAATGTATTTAATTTGTTTTTGTGTACTCATTTGGCTAAGCTTAATTATTTTATCCAAAGAGCGCGCGGGGCTCCCGTATTGTCGATTAGCCATCGTTTGTCATTTTTCTTTTTAGGATCATATACAATTTCACATATTCTATGATTGGTCCGGAGGGGATTGAATTCTCCGTAGGCCAGGTAGGCGTCACCGGGGGATTCTAGGTCTTCTATTTCCAGCTGGGCAATGTTGTCCAACATCTGTTGATTTATGTCCTCGGCACGTAGGTGCTAGGTTTCTATGTCTGCCATCTCCCGCAGCGTATTTATGGATATTCTTTTGGGCAGCACTCTTGAGTGCCATTCTGTATTGTCTTTTGATTTTTCTCAGGTTCGTCACGCTGTACCTCGATAGCATTTGGACTACTCCCTAGTCAGGCCTGTATTATGGCCAGTTTGGTTTATAGATCTGTTTTTGCGTAGTATCCAATTATCGGGCCAAGGGCTCCTCTATCCCGTTTAATTTTCTTCACTACCTATTCGGTGTGTTGATTCATTTTCATGTGTTTTGCAAAGAACACGCCGAGGTAACTGTGGAACGATTGTGTTGGAACGGTGGTTGCAGCCGGTGTACCATAGCGGTGAGTCGCCTCAGGATCAGTCGCTCGCTTAGTTTGCCCATTGTGTTGAGCAGTGTGATCGGGCGGTACGATAATGCCTGGCTATGATCTTTGCCGGCTTTGTGCATCATGCCCGTTTTTCATCTCTTACGGAAGTAGCCTGTGGACAATATAAAGTTAACGAGAGGCACAAATGCCTCGGTATAGACTTCTCCCCCGAGTTTCAGGGCTTCTGCCTTGATTCGATCTGGCCCGGGGCCTTTTCGTTTTTGAACCTGCTCAATGCTATTTTGACTTCGCGTTTTAATGTTGGATCGAGTGGCAGGAATGGGGGCGTTTTCTCTGTGCCCTCGTCTTTCATCGCAATCACTGCCTCTTTTACTATTGCTGCCTCGGTCAGCGAGTCGATCGTCTCTTTTTATGTTTTGCTACCCGTTATATTTGGTAGTTTTATGATTGGTTTCGTCATGTTACGTTGGATGCGTCACATATGCGACCTATTGTCATTCCGGTCCTGGATCTTATCCAGCCAGCCCTTCTTGGTATATTCTCTCAGTGCTTGGTCTGCTTCTTTTTTGGCATTGTTGTAAAGGGCACGTGCCTCTCGTTGTGGGTTGGGGCTACAGTGCCTCGCCTGCCATTTAAATTGTTTCAGCTTGTTTCTGAATCTTTTCATTTATTTCCGATAGCAGATGTTCTCGTCTCGTTGTTGTTTTGGGAGGTGCGTGTTCGTCAAGGGCTGCTGTGATAGGAGGAGGCCTATGTTCAGCAGTGAATTTTATAGCACAATTGAACAAATTTATAGCTATTGTAGAACAATTGAATAAAACTATTTTTAACGGATCTTATCGCGTTTAATTTACTATTTTAATTGTTTGACATCCCGATGTCACAGTTAGCCCGGCTACCTTCAGTTTTTTAATACTAATTTTCGGTTCGATTTATGCAGAATGAACTTACAGTATATTGAAGTCTTGCAGTGGTATGCTTGGGTTTAGATTTAATTTTGTTAGAAACAGAAACAGAAACTTTTTTATTCAATATAGATTATAAATAATACATATTGAAAGTCACTCTTTTGTTTAATTACCACTGGTTCGGAAAAAAAACTCTGTCCTAGGAAGAACCAGCAAGAAACCCAGCGGGACTTTTTTTTAAATAACAGCTTACAATCATGTATGTTACACACATTAACAACACAACAAATTAGAAATAGCTTGGTAGCGATCACCTCATTTCCAGGGGTTATTATCATCCATTAATTCCCTAATATTATAATAACCCTTTTTATACCAACTTAGTTTAATAAAGTTTTTGAACTTTGAGCCGGTCAAATTTTGTATATTTTCTGGAATTTTGTTGTAAATGCGTATACATCGCCCCAAGAATGAATTACTGACTCGATGGAGTCGAGTAACTGGTACTACTAGCTTATGTCTGTTCCTAGTATTTACAGAATGAATATCACTTATTTTTGTAAAAGTACTTTTATTTTTGTGTACGTACATTACATTTTCATAAATGTATTGAGAGGCCAAAGTTAATATATTATTTTCCTTAAATTTTTGTCGCAGCGACTCTTTAGGCTTTAAATCATAAATTGCTCTTATGGCTCTCTTCTGTAAATTCTGTAAATTCTTCTGTAAAACAAATATAATTTCAGTGTCAGCTGCGTGTGCCCATAGCAAAATACCATACGACATTATGCTATGGAAATAGCTAAAGTAAACTAGTCTAGCTGTTTCAACACTGGTTAGACTTCTAATCTTTTTTACAGCATATGCTGCAGAAATAAGTGTGCTTGCTAGTTTTGATATATGGGGGCTCCATTGAAGCTTCGCGTCTAGTGTGATTCCAAGAAAAATGGTAATATCTACAAGACTCAGTTTCTCCCCATTCAAAATTTCATTAGTATTTAATTGTTTGACATTTGGAGTCATGAATTTCATACATTTCGTTTTAGTGCCATTTAAATGCAAATTATTAACATTGAACCAATTTACTAATTTAGATATAGTATTATTTACTTCGTCATATTTTAATAATTGTCGACTTAATTTGAAAATTAAAGAAGAGTGAATCTGCAAATAATACTATATCATGGTTATCCCCTACTATGTAAGGTAAGTCATTAATGTATACAAGAAACAGAAAGGGGCCGAGAATTGAGCCTTGAGGCACGCCCATTTGTACCATCAACCCGGAAGAGCTCATATTGTTAGTGACAACTTTTTGCGTTTTCTTACTTAAATATGAAATAATTAATTTAAGAGCATCACTTCTTACACCGTAGTGTTGAAGTTTCCTGATTAATGTTTCATGGTGAACACAATCGAAGGCCTTGGATATGTCACAAAATATACCCAAAGCATCCTGTAAGAATTTACAGGATGCTTTGGGTATATTTTTGAGCTGATTAAATATATCTTTAATGCATGGGAGAATTCCCATGGATTAAAGACATATATAATCATCTCAACACCGGCATCAGTAGTTGAGCGGCCCCTTGCGAAACCAAATTGATTTTTATGAAGTAAATTATTTATATTAAAGAAATTTAACATTTGATCAAGAATAATTTTTTCAAAAATCTTACTAAGTATTGGTAGTATAGAAATAGGTCTAAAATTGGCGGGGTCTAATGTACTACCAGATTTAAATAAAGGTTTTAGTTTACTATGCTTCATTAAATCAGGAAACACACCAGATTCGATACAAGTATTAAAAATAATAGCTAAATGAGGCGCGATTGTATCTATTATAGACGCAATAACTTTAACGGAAATCCCCCACAGATCCGCAGTTTTCATAACATCAATAGTTTTAAAATAATTTACAATATCTTTAGATGATACTTTATGAAATGTAAAATTCTTTGTACACGCATTTACATTTTGTTTAAGTAATGATTCAGCGACGGCAGGAGAAGAATTCAGTGACTTAGTGGTCAATATCGGAATATCAGTAAAATATTTCTCAAAAACCATTGCTACGTCCTGATCTGATACAGTTAATTTGTTGTTAACACTTAACTGGTAATTATAGGATCTCAAGCAGATGGCAGCACCCATCCATCTTCTCTATTGAAATTAGGATGTTTTTTAATTTCAATAGCCTCGCGTATCATCCTTGGTACGAGTAGGAGTCGGTGTTCTTTTGCGAGTATTTGTGGTCTATCAAAGTTACAGTTTCCTTTTTTTCTTTGACAAAAACAGTCCAAGACTCATGCATACAAACTTTTACGATAACCTTTAGTACTCGTGTTTTATTCATAATTACTGGAATTTTATTTTTATAACATATCGTTCTTTCTTACTCATATAACGTGTGTAATAACGGCAGAAGGAGTAATTAAAAAATATTCATCAAAATATCCCTAATGGTTAATAACCGAATCACCTTCAGTAAAACTATCGTCACCATCATCATCACCATCATCAGTACAGCAGTCCACTGTTAAACATGGTTGTACACGCCCCTAGCTGCCCCAACAAAGGTTGACGGGACTAGGGCCCATGAGTATTCCCTCTGACGGGCAGCAGAGGGACGGGGCCCAACGGCCTATGGAAGAATTTCCTATAATACTAAGCTATATGGGAGAAGGCTATGGAAATATATTACGTACCTGTTTCCGACTCTTAGATCGCCCCAAGGCTCCGTCAGGCCGTAAGTGGGTGTGAGGTGCATGGCAAGTAGTGTTTAGTGATGTGTAAATGTCTGAAACCTGGACCAGCTTAGGCGACCAACAGCGGCCGAGTTCCAGGCTGCCCCACAATGCTGCATCGCTCCATCAGGCTCCACCGCTGGACCATTTCTTTCTTCATTGTCACTATTTCAGTCTATTAGCTTCATTGTACATTTAACTAACTTAAACTCGCCTAATTCCATATTCATAGTATAATCGAACACGTGATACCCGACACAGTAAGGACAGTAGTTCAAAGTTCGACATTCAATGTCCCGGATTCACTTATCACAAAATTATAAATAGGGAACTAACGCGATCTCTTAATGAGTCATACGGTTCAGCGTTAAACACAACTAAGTTCCTTCATCCGATACCAAAATATCACGTCGCGAAAGGAATTCAAAATACGCCTCGTTGACACGTAAACTAACAAACCAACCAACACACAAAAAGGGCACTTAACGCGACGGCACAATTATAATGATTTCCAGACAATCAACCGAGAGACGCTCTCGACCAAGGAATGCGCGGTTCGAATCCTAGACCATATATCTACTCGACGCGCGTGTGCACAATTCCGCATCACTCGAAAAAGTTAAATATTGCAAAATTCACATATCCACGTAGCGAAGTAACACGCACTACATCTAACTATCTGGACTCTACACGGTCGCGTGAACTTCGGCCGCGATAACCGAGATACGGGGTTTCCCCGCATCGCGACCAGCGAGCTACTCTTCTTCGCCTACGCGTCGAGCCACTGCAAGCCGCACACGGCCGCCCCACCTGGCGGCGTTTTTTTCACCTACATACCATCGGGTGACGCGCCAGCTCGAACGCAATTGAATGGCGTTCAAAACTGACCAAATTTGGGCATAAACAATGGGATTACTAAAAATCACGATTCTTAGGATCGTAACCATTATAATATGGTTTCTTCTTCGAATTCCTTTTATATTCTATTATAATTTTAAAAATGTAAATACCGGCTATTATTTTACTATCGAGAAAGAACAGGGTTTAATACGTGAATGAAGTAGAAGTCTATGGCATAGTTTTTAAAGTTCCGTATCCAAAGGGTAACCAACGGGACCCCATTTCTAAGCCTCCGCTGTCCGTTCGTCCATCCGTCCGTCCGTCTTTCTGTCAGCGGGCTGTATCTCATGATTCGTAATAGGTAGACAGTTGAAATTTTCTCAGAATATGTATTTTTGTTGCCGCTATAATAACAAAATAAAAATAAATTAAAACTTAAAGGGGAGCCCCCTTTAAGTTTTAATTTATTTTTATTACTACTAGAAACGTGTTTTACGATGCTACGGAACCCCTCATCCACGAGTCCGACTCGCACTTGTCCGGCTTTTATTTATTTTAAGCGAGGCAACTATAATAAACATTACCCTTATGAGGTAATATATTATGAGATAGCCTTTTTTATAAAAAAAAATGCAGTTTTCTTTTTTCTTAAGTAAATGCATTTTCGAATCGTTGCAATTTACCTGGAATCCTGAAATCAATGATTGTAATAATTTGTGGAGACTAGATCCTTTAAAATGAGTCTCGCCCGGTTTAATTCCCCTCACAGCTAGATATTCTTTGAGAAATCGTCGCATACTATTCATTTTTAAATGCTAGGATTTCAAAACCAAAGAAGAGCGATAGTATGATATATGTATGATAAAACGTTAAGTGAAGATGTGAAAATTAATAAGCTATAATCCACGGTTCACGCGGATTTTATTTAGTTAATTTTAAAAATGACTAGCTGCAATGTAACGCCCGATTCTATTATTCAGCATGCAGCAGCAGCCGCATTTATGTTGTATGTATGTTACCTTACGAATGGAAAAAAACGTAAAGGAAGGCAGATAAAAAGGTGGAAGATGATTTTCCAAAGGTTTGGAGAAGAACAAAGGACAGGAACAAGTGGAGAGAATTAGAGGATGTCAATTTGACACGACAGTCTGACTTAGAAGCTATACGACATAACTAAGATTAATATTATGATAAAGATAAACTAACTTTTTAAGAACTTAGTAGTTTTCAAGTATTTTCTGTATAAAAAAGTCAGAGGACATAAAGGCTTTTTTATTTTTTATTTTAATATTTTCGTTGCTATCCCAAATTTCGTTAACTTCATTGAAGAAAGACAATGATCTCCAAATATAATAACGCTGGACTGTCTATACCCTACGAAATGTTTGTGCCAATTTGAAGTGCCGCCATCGAGAGTACTGGGAACTAAATTTGCAAATGGCCGTTGTGATGCTCAAACCGTCTAAAAGTATTTTAAAGTTTTAAACGAGAAAAAGAGTGTATGTTGTATAGTTCATTTATTTCATGTTTCATGTAATATATTATAAAGTATTTTGCTATGGGGACACGCAGCTGACACTGAAATTATATTTGTTTTACAGAAGAGGGCCATAAGAGCAATTTATGATTTAAAGCCTAAAGAGTCGCTGCGACAAAAATTTAAGGAAATTAATATTTATATATTGAAAATTTAAGGAATATAATATTGACTTTGGCCTCTCAATACATTTATGAAAATGTAATGTACGTACACAAAAATAAAAGTAGTTTTACAAAAATAAGTGATATTCATTCTGTAAATACTAGGAACAGACATAAGCTAGTAGTACCAGTTACTCGACTTCATCGAGTCAGTAATTCATTCTTGGGGCGATGTATACGCTTTTACAACAAAATTCCAGAAAATATACAAAGTTATACCTGCTCAAAGTTCAAAAACTTTATTAAACTAAGTTTGTATAAAAAGGGTTATTATAATATTAAGGAATTTATGGATGATAATAACCCCTGGAAATGAGGTGATCGCTACCAAGCTATTTCTAATTTGTTGTGTTGTTAATTTGTGTAACATCATGATTGTAAGCTGTTATTTTAAAAAAAAGTCCCGCTGGGTTTCTTGCTGGTTCTTCCCAGGACAGAGGTTTTTTCCGAACCAGTGGTAATCAAACAAAAGAGTGACTTTCAATAAGTATTATTTATAATCTATATTGAATAAAAAAGTTTCTGTTTCTGTTTCTAGTAACAATGATAGTGTGCGTGATTTGTAAAATTCGTTATTAGAAGGGAAGCGTGATAGCATTCCACAGGTAAGGGTTTTTACAGTAAGTACATATTAAATAATTAAAATTATTTGATAATATAGGCTCTTAAAAATCTGTCACTTATCTTATTAAATGTAATTATTAACATAAACAGGCTTTAAATTATCTATTTTTGTTAAACAATAAAATTCAATAGGGTTGACGAGTTTCTTGTCGATAATATATATCAATGTTTTTTTTTCTACCTATATATGTTTATAGCAGTGAAAATCGCTGAAAATATATAATTATCAAATATTTATTTATTTTCAGGTTTTCACCTGACTCTATTCTAAATCTGAGACTAAAAGCATAAGAGTTGGCGTCCGAAGCAAATTGATTATGACGTCTATGATTTGTGGTATGATACTCTTTAATATAATTTAAAGTTTAGATTACACTTGTAGTAGCAAAATCCTAATTGTGCCTATAGATATTGTTGCAACATACATTATTTTGGCAGCTTATTGATTTTCTATAGTACGAGGACTAGATGCATGGGAATGTAGTATTCTACTACAGTTTTTCCTACACATTAGGCCTTTTTAAACCTCTCTTATGAACTATACATTCCCATTCGTTAAACCCGGAATATAACCCGGCCTATAGTTACGAAGAAAACGTAGATAGATTAACGCAGCGAAGATTTTGTGGTATAAAACTTGTGTCTAAGACATAAGTGTTAATTGATACATTTATTTATTGAATGTCATTATATTAAAATGATACATAAATAGAATGGACGGTACGGGTAGACCTGAGTATAGAATTTTTAATCGATATATTTTGTTACATTATCATATCTCTATTATTTGTTCCTTGGACGTTCACTACTGCTATCAGCGGCAAAATGGGGAAAATCAAATCGCCTCACTATGTCACGGTGTATAGCCAGTCCATCATACTTGTATATATAGAGGTCAGTGAAGAAAGATCATTGCCATTATCAGAAATATTGTTATCCGATTTTTTTCGTTGAGACAAAATCTTAATTCAAACAAAATTCATTTTTTTTATAGAATTAGGGTGACAAACAAGCACACAGTCCACCTGATGGTAAGTAGTTGCTGTGACCCATAGACATCTACATCTATTCTCGATTACGAATCAAAATAAAGATGCATTGTCACCCGTGAGGACTAAGATGGAATGCCTCGTTTTCAGTAAAAAGGGTCTCCGGATCTCTACTCTCACCTTACGGAACACAGCAGCATTAAGCTGTTTTTTACGCTGGTATTCTGTGAGAGCGTGGTCCTTCCCCGGTCAAGGCGACCCATTCGTGCTACATCTATACTATTAATATAGCTGCAGCATGGCTCTACCACGTAAAAAATATATATACATAATTTCTATATACATAAATGACATTTAAACTAATTATTTTTGTTTTAATTAATATTTTTGTTTAGATTCTACAGTTTGAATATTTAAGCATTGAAATGCAATTAAATTGTATCTAGCGAAAGATAGATAGGAGCCAGACGTTATAAAATCCGCATCGTTGGCGGCTCACAAGGGACTTTTACAGCCAATAACAACGTTGATAACTTGGTCCCGTATAATGTTTTACGTTCGGCGAACGATCGCGCGTTCCTCGCGCTTTTGAACCGTATTTACGACGTATGAACGTTTCGCA